AGAGAGAGAGAGAGACAGAAGGTTGTACCCAATCAACTCCTTCCTTGTACTCATGGAAGAATGCAACTTCATGGTCTCCTCCAAAACATGAAACTTTGATTCTCAACTTAGTATCTAATGCATTTCCATACACCTTATCAGTGATTCCATTCATATACCTTGGAATTACCACCATTACACGATGACCGCGCCTAGCCAGAACAACGGGGAGAGACCCAACAACATCTCCTAAGCCTCCTGTCTTAGCATATGGGTTGGCTTCAGAAGCTACAAAGACAATATTTTGGGTTATCTTAGGCTTCGTTTTAACCCCTTCTTCCCCACTAACACTTTGTTTTCTATCACTGGATGAATCAACATTGGAATCATCAGGTCCCAATTTATCTGCAAAGAGATGTAAACGTAAATGTCCAATTTTCTAATGAGCAATTCTACTCTACCAACCGCTAAGCTATCCGTTTTAGTTGTCATGGAGAAGCATAGGATTTTATTTTGCAAAACACACTTGCCATTAAGCCATCCTCTTTTATAGCTACAAAAGCTTTTCTAAACAGTAACAGTGAGGCTAATAAACAACCTGACTATGGCATATCATCATTTATAACAGAATGTATAGATCCTTCTTCATGCAACAATGAAATGAAAATTTCAGACAAATTTTCAGTGAAGCCAGCAAACATAAGAAAGAGACCCAATATCTGAATTTTAAAATAAAATGAACCAATTCTTTGTTCGAAATCTTAAAATGAACCAAATCTCCATTGCAGCATATAGAAATGAAGTCCATCATAATGATTATGATGGCTGGACTAAGTGAAAACTTTTCGGCATAGAAAAATAGCTTTCCAGTTTTGGGTGAATTTAGGCCAACATTGTGGATGCATTTAGGGCACAGTTGATTGAAACCTCCATATGAATTTTACCCAAAATGCACTAGAATAACTCATGCATGTTCTAGCTGTTATGGACATCAGCAGTTGCACCACGGGACCACAACCAATTCCAGTCAAATTTCATTGAAATTACAGAGAGGAAGCCATTATATTATAGGCAAAGACCAATTCTGAATTGTTATTCATAATTTCCAATGTGGAAGGCACAGGCTTAAGAACTACTATCTGAAAGAAAGGTCAAACTTGGTGGTCAAATAAGACAAGGGGCGGTGGTCAAATAAGACATGGGGCAGTATCCAAAACAGAAACCAAATGTTTTCCCTCAATATTATTGTATAGTTTGATATTTATCTATTTTCAAGCACTAAAGGGAACATACCAACAAGACTAAGTTGTCAATTCTTCTTATTTTACGAAAGTCATAGGATTTTGCAATCCTATCTGATATTCAAGTAATTTTTAAGAATAAAATATAATATGAAGAAAGAGAGAGAGAATTAGCAATCTTCAAGGGGGTTGAGACTTCCTATAAACTTTCAGCACCCAATAGCACGGTTTTTGTGAACTATTTTTTTTTTGGATTACATCCTTTTCTTTGAGGTACCCATACCCTAAGCCCATCTCCAAGAATCAAGGCTAAAATCAGATATTTAAAGAGAAAAATATTAAGAAAATATCCTTACCACTCAATTTCTCTCTCTACTCTATATAGCTAACTCACCATTCCCAAAACAAATGTTAAAAAAAAAAAAGTTCATCGTGGGGAAACTACTAATATGGGTACCCCCAAAAAAAAAAAAAAGACCAACCTAAGGATCAACCTTGTCCTCAAGTTTGAAATCAGGAAACTTCTCGTCTTCTCCTTCACGTTGTGATCACTTCCCATGATCCAGCTTCCATGGGCATATTTAGTCTGTTAGATTAGAACCTCAATAGCTGTGATTGTTGAGCATGACCATACCATACTCTAAGCTAAAATGGACTGTGGTTGAAGTTGCACTTTGCTATGAGTACGTGTGTGAGAGAAAACACCTTAAGGTGATATGATTTGGCCTACCTTCCACTTCAAACGAGGAATGTGAAAGACAGGATGCAATTTGGATCCAACCTACAATTCAAGTCTGTAGGCCACCTTCCCAATGTGTTGAATCACCTTAATGGACCACAAAGGTAGGGGCAAGTTTCATCAATCCCTGAGCAGAAACAGATGTCTGTCTCTAGGGTTGAAGGTGCAGAAATATTCACTCACCTTACTTGAACCCCTGCTAAGTTCCAAATTAACAGCATCACATTCATACGAGCACGAACGAAATGAAGGTTATCCCCAGCATATGCAATATCCAGTCCCTATTTTTGAATTCCAAATCAGCATAATGGCCATTTGTGGAGCTTGGCATATAGGAAGTAAAAGTAGGTGGTGGACACCCATATACTGCCTCAGATGGTGTGAGCTTTGGAATGGAGAGTGGAATTATACCACCATTCCATCCACAATTCCCATTTAGCCCATTGGGAGGGCTGATCACTCGTAAAACACTGTAAATAATTATCCGGACACCGATGAACAACTTCAGCTTGACTGTCCATTTGCAGATGGTAGGCTGTGTTCATTTTCAGATTGTTTCGTTGAAAATTTAGAGAACTCACGCTGAAATCGCCTCGGGAAAACAGCGCCACAGTTAGTTATAATAAAGGTGGGCATGCGATGGAGTTTAAAGACCTGCTCAATTAAGACTTGGCTACCATTTTAGCTACCAATGGGTGGGCCTCTGGCGCAAAATGAACATGCTTTGTCAATCTGTTGACAATGACAATGATAGAGGTCTTACTGCATGATGTTGGCTACCCCTTGATAAAATCAGGAGAACATTAAACAACAGCTGTTCCAAGATAGGCAGGGGGCCGTAGCAGTCCAGGTGGTGCAAATGTTTTCCCTCGTATCCTTGGCAGGCATCACATTCACCCACAAACTTCTTGATGTCCCGCTTCATGCCTTTTCAGCAGGAGGTCAGAGAGATACACTTGTTGGTCTGTGTTTGCGTGGTTTTTGCACCACTTTAAATTCAAGGGAATGCATATACCTCATGGCTCATGTCCTATATGACTTGCTTACTCAGAGCTCATGTCTCATGTGGCTGATGGATTGTCTCATACGGCTCACACTTAGTGTGCATTTGGATCGAAAACCTTTTAATCTCTTTGATAAATTCAATAATGTTTCTCGAAGAATGTCGAGGCTTTAAGTCTCGGAAGTGAAGTTGCTCATACGTGGCTGATATCACGTAAGCCTGTGTAGCTCCTTGAAGACCAAAAGGTTGGGTTTCAGAGCCCGAACCGTATGATATAACAGAACATGGTCACTCGCACCAGGCAACTCAATTGTTCCTTGGCAATCACAAGCAGCCGCCCAACCATTTCTATGGACGAGATTTACAACCCAATCGCTCTTTCTCAGCACAAAAATCATGCGAGGGGTCTCATTTTATTGACTACCTACATGGTCAGGTTAGGGAGCCATTCCTAGGTCCGATAGGAATTCAAAGGAGTCACTAAGGTCAGAAAGAACATTTACATGAGCAGATGTTGCTTAGAAGTTTCCATAAGCAGCATCATATGGAACCATCCACTAAGGGTCAATACCCATTAATATAGGTCGGCGGTTTCCTTTCATCTTTGCAAATGGTGAAAGCTTAACTGGTCAAGTTACAGTTGGAATGCTTGTGTATAGATTTTGATTGGAAGTACAACTATCCCGATTCAAGTCTACATTCATGATAAACTGGAATGGAAATGCCATTGCATTCCCTATCTTTAATGGAATCATATATATATATATATATATATATATATATATATATATATATATTTGATTCCATTAAAGTGCTTTTGCCTGCATATAAAATACACCGCGCAAAACACATAAGCATTGGAATATGGTCATACACTTGGCACCATACTTCACACCTTCCTAATCACATATTGACATGTGTTAATAGGAGAACTCTAGGGCAGGAAATTTCGCAATTACAGACATGAGATTTAGGTGCAAAGTGCTCTTTGTCAGCACTCTACTACAGAGACAATCCCACAGGAACATAGAATTCCAGCTATAACCCACTTCCCCTTAATCCGTATCCCTCTTCCTCACCCCCTCTATTCCTTTCTCTAACAACTACATAGCAATTGTTCCTCTGAATAAAAATTCTAAATACCTGAATGTGAGGGTTAAAGGAATTCTGTAGAGAAGAAGATACAAATGCACACAATAAAGCAAGTAAAAATGTCAAGACGAGCAGATCAAGTAGATAAAGAGAGATACGCCCGCAGGCACATGAGAGTGAGGTGAGGGAGTAAAGTAAGGAAAGAGAGAGCAAATAACATCGACATCGCATAAGCAAAGCTCGAAGGAGAACCCATCAGTGATACATAAAGCACAAAGCAAGGTATACAGGGGCAAACTGCCCCATGAAATACCATATTCTCTTCTTTTTGTAATTGTATTCCTACTCATCCCTTCATTGTACTCGATTAACAAAGGTGTTCACTATAATGTGACAGTCGATGAAAATTAATACGCCATTGACAGGTGCTTTTGGATTGAATTCCCCAGAATCACATAATAAGTCCCAAATAAAGACAGCTTTCCTTGTTCAATGTGTGCTTACTTTCCTTGATCCTCATTAAAATCAAAGGTCCACCTTTTGATCAAACAATCTGTAAGAAAACCAGAGTGACCAGCTGTGAACAAGGTGTAAAACTCCTCAAGTATTAGTAATTTCCATGTGTGATCAACTACCAACACCAACTGTCCCTTGCACCTCAATTCACCGACCTCAAATATGTAACATTACATGGCTGTCGGATCTTGCGTCAAGCTTTCAATGATAAGCCTGAAATGAGCAGATTCTTTCCACTCCTTCAGACCCCCTCATATTCCACAATAGTAGCAATAGATATTCTGGCCACTACAATGTCTGCATACTGGAATACTACCAGATTTTCTTTTCCACGCTGGCACACCATTTGACAGTTATATCCCATCAACTTGGAGAGCCATTTCTGTTGCTCCAAAGTAGACACACATTGTTCCACAAAGTATTTGAGGTTGTGATGGTTGATCCAACTCTGAAAATGCCACTCCAGAAGATATGGATGCCATTTGACCCAGTTAATGACGGCCAACATTTCAAGGTCATATTTTGACATGGTATGGTATTTTTCCTTTTATTGCCTTACTTATAAAAGCCAACAGTCCACCATCTTGCATTAGAATAACTCCTATGATCCTATCCATCATTGGAAACATCACATTCGACTATGGACACCTTCTTGAACTCAGGTAACGCCAAAAGTGGGGAGGTAGGCACTCTTTAGAGCTTGGAATGCTTGTTTGGCCACAGTACTCCATTTAAAAGGTTCGTTTTTCAATAATGTTCTGAAAGGATCACCGATTTGCCATAGTCTTTAACAAAGTAACTAGTAACCAGGGAGACTAGGAACCAATGTACCCTTTAAAATCCTGGGACAAGGCCAGTTTGACATGCATTCCATCTTTTTTGGGGTCAGCAGCCACTCCATCCTTGGAGATGATGTGACCAAGATATTTGACCTCTGTTCTACCAAAAATATGTTTAGACCTCTTCATGAACAACTGATTCTCTTGCAGCAGTTCCAGGGTTAGCACGGTGCAAGTCATGAACATGAGAAGGACCATAAATGAGGATGTCACTAATAAAACAAAATAAATTTACAGAGATGCAGTTGAAAGACACTGTTCATCAGACTTCGAAAGGTCTGTAGAGCAATTCTTAATCTGAAGGGCTTGACACGAAACTCATAGTGTCCATTGTGATTTCAGAAAACAGCCTTGTGAATATCGGAACTATGCATCGTCATTTGATGCTACGTCACACCAAGGTCCAGCTTCGAGAAGTGGGCCTATGTAACTCAGATTTCACAGGAATCTGAATGTCTTTCACGGTGATCCAATAAAGGCCTGATAATCTATGCACAACCTGCAAGTGCCATCTTTTGGTGATGAAAATGGACTTACACTTGGAGAGATGATCAAAGGCTGCAACATTTCCTTCACCATTCACATTTTTCTCAGAATAGGGTACTGATGTGGTCTCACGTTTATGGGTCCACTACCAGCTATAATGAATCTGCTGCTCGAAATTGGGGCAGTCCATGGGGCTCAACAAACAAATAGAGAATTCATTGTCAAAGCCCTGTGGACTCACCTCCGATAAGAAACTAACTTGGCGTCAAGGGCTCGAATGCTGATAGTATGTTATGGGTCCATGCAAAAGTATTTGTCTAATCCAACAGAGCTTCCCTTTAGATCTGTATCAAATTGGCATTCAAAAGGTGGGCGATCATTCACTTGCAGTTGATATGCTGTCCAGCAGAAGAGGAGACCAAAGGGAAGATGAATCCCACTGCTTTTATTATCAGGTGATTCTTCACCATGCACCAGGAAACCTTGCTCTGATACCAAATAATAGGATTTTGTAATTCCATCTAATATTACTGTAATATTTAAGAACCATGGTACCTCCTATGGAGCTTTTAGCACCAAAATCGCAGTTTTTTCATAGACCTCATTGATTAAATCCATCTTTTTTAACATAACCGAACCCCATCTACTAAAATCAAGGCACTAAATCAGATATTCAAAGAGAAAATAAAAGAAAAGAAAAAAAATTCCAACTCCCAATTTTTCTCTCTAGCTGACTCGCCATTCCCAAAACGAATGAAAGAAGAGAAAAAGCTGCTGGTAAGGGCATAATGGTAAGGATGCTATCACGCATAAGTAACTCATAAACAACAACAACAACAAAAAAATAAAATTTCAGAATGAAATTCTCAAATTAGGTCCAAAACAGAGACAAAAATTGTCCCAAAAGTATATGAAATTTTAATGAATCCAGGTGATTTAAATTCATTCAAAATTGCTACAACTATGTCCTCCATCCAAATCTCTATCATCTTTTTTTTGGCTGGCTGAAATTTGATCAGAATTTTCAGCTCTGCATCTTTCCAAAATCTACACTGAAACTAAAATTCTGAACTATACCATGACCAGCTATAAATTAAGAAGTACGTGAAAGAGAATGAAGCAGAAATATATGCATCTATAAGACTAAGAGTTTTTTCCTTGATGCGTTATCTGTTTACGTTTTCCAATAAAATAAGACAGAGAGAGAGAGAGATATTTTCAAAATTCTCACCACTTTCAGAGGAATGTTCTAGCCCATTACGCTCCAACAAAACCCCTTCCAAATCCCTCTCTCCAACAAAACCACTATTACCTTTCAAACTACAAAACCCCATCAATCTCCGATCACTCCCATTAAGAAAAACGCCATTACACCTCTGAAACTTATTAGGCGAGACCACCTTAACAAATCCTAAATTTGGTATAAGCACCGCCAAATTCGTGGGTGATCTCCATAATCGGGCAGCAGAAAGAGCGACAGGGACCTGCGGGATCTCCATTGAAACCCAAAAGGAGCCCCAAAACCCTAAAAAGAATCAGCTTCACAGCTGAAGGTATACATACGAATGGCACCTAGAAAACCTCAAAGAATGAGGGCCTTAGTGTTGGAAGTCGCAGAGTCAGACGTTATTTGCCGAAAGAGGCAAAGAGAGATAATGATTTATTCAAATGGGTGTTCTTACTTAATTTGGAAAGTATGGACCCCATTTCTCCATCTGCTTTTCTCTCTCCCTATCACGAAAGGCCCGGGAGCTTCGAACCAGGAGTTGAAAGTGACACGCGAACATCAATCGCCAATCAGAACCTGTCAGGTTACTATTTGGACACGTGGCGATCTTACTTCGAATCGATAATAGATTAGTTAGCCGTAGGACTAGGTATCGGGAAAATTGTTTCATGCGGGGCTGGACCGCATGAAACATATGCGGCCCAGAAAGTGTGAAGCATCCATATGGTTACAAGTTGGTGTTCCATCTAAAAAAACAAACGGAAATTAACGGTCCAAATGTTTTTTTACTAGAATTGTTATTTGTAGTTTTAAAATTTATTTATTTTTTATATTCATGATCTCCATGTTAGATACTACATGTCTTTAAAAATTTAAATCCTAAAATCCTTCTCAAAAATAGATTTATTAAGAGACCCTCATTTTTACATATGCCTCTGGCCCATTGCCACCCCTCGTTCCAAATTCATATTTTTAACTATGGGGTATTTGGAACTCTAGTTGATTGGATTGGCTTTGTTCATAAACACAATAATTAAAGTTGATTTCTATGTGTTTCGTGATTTAGGGTAGGCCAATTTTCAATTGGGGTATTACAAAAAGTTTATATGAGATGTACATCGAAAAATCTATCGGAAAACACATCTCAAAAGCCAATTAATTTATGTAAGGCACATCTCAAAAATTCACTAGAAAAGATTGTTTTGATGTTGAATCAAATATTAAAACTATTATATCTTGTAACACATTGTTTAGACTGCCTATTTTTAAATGTAGATAAATATACTTGATGTGCAGTACTTCTGGATTTTCGAATTTCATGATTGAGGGTAGAAATGTATTGCAACCTACTTGAAACTTTTACCTTATGGCATAAAATTTTAGCTAAATTATGTATGGTAAGTTTATTTTACCATAATTACAATCTAGTCCAAGTTTTTGAGATATCTAGGCATGGTTCCCTTTGTTTCATGGTTTTTTTACTTCCGATATTCCGTTGTCCATTGTTGCAAACAAGAACGAGTTTTTTATATTATTTTTTTTCAATTTCTTAGGACTATATGCCAATTTGATGCTCCAGACATCAAACTAGCCTATATCCATGCAGTCTGACATTAGAAACATCAAATTAACCTATGTGAGTGTTTTTTTACTTAAATACAACCACTTTTATTTTTATTTTTTTAAAGTAGAATTGGGTGGGTCCAATAGAGAACCTCATACCCCCTCCCCCAATTTCCACTTTCATTGACTTCATTGCACATGCAAGTGACCTTGTATAGTTGATAGTAGCTTTCAATTTGTGATTTAGGGCCAAATTATATATTCCAGTAATATAAGAGGCCGGGATGTAATTTTTCGTAAAAATTTTTGAAGTCTATACGTGTCTTGTGATTTCCAATACTAAAGATAAGTAATTAGCTAGTCCCTAAAATTAAGTGTTAGCAACTTCACATTTTAAGGTATGTTTTCCTTAGATCAATTTTGGGGGAAAGTGAGGGTTTCTCTCTCTCTTTCTCTTGTCCACGTTGCTCAGTATCTCTCTCCATCTTTCGCACTGGGAAGCCACCAGATTTTCTTTTCCCATCAAAGAGATGTGTCGTCTTTATTCTTGTCTTTTCTATGTTCCCCAAGTAACGAATATGTAACATTAAATATTTTATCAAAAATGTTTATACAGGGTTGCAATTTTATTCAAAGCAGGAAAACCTTCTAATTATCATTGTTGAAAATTTGGTCGGTGAAATGGGAACAAAAAATGATACGATTTTCAAAAATAGAATTTCGAGCTCTTCTTGCTTTCCAGTACGCAAGGGTATTATCAAGACGATATTTTTTCCTATTCGATGTAGTATTTGATGTCCATAAGAAGGGTAATTTGTCATCAGGATACAGAAAAACAGAGAGATCTTTTTCAATGTTTCTAAGCTCTATACACCCGAGCTTGGAACCCACACAATAGACATCAGAGTCTTAATGTATTATGGAGCGAGAGAGAGAAATGAGTAGAGAGAGGGGTCTTTAGTCAACTGTTGTGCTTGCTAGAATTGCAAAGAAAGGTTTGTTGAGAGGCTCAAAGTATGCTCTAAGTCCCTATCTATTATGAGAAAGTGACCCCATTTTATAGAGCCAAGGGGCTGTATGTTTACTGTAATAGTGATTACATGCAGCACCAACAGCTACAAGTTACATACAGTCCCTTAACTCATTTATAGCGATGGTTACATGCACCACCAAAAACTACAAATTACATGCATCCCCTTAACTCACTAGTAGTGCTTGGCTCACAAAACGATAATGAGCCATGAGCCCTGTGTTGAGAGGCTCAAAAGTATGCTTTAAGCTCCCATCTCTTATGGGAGAGAGACCCCATTTTATAGAGCCACAAGGGGGTTGTATATTTACTATAGTGGTGATTACATGCACCACCAACAGCTACAAGATATATGTAGCCCCTTAACTCATTTGTAGTGATGGTTACATGCACCACCAACAACTACAATTTACATGTACTTTAACTCTCTTGATAGTTGTTGTGCACTTTAACTCTCTTGATGGTTGTTGTTACAACCCTTTTGCCTCTATTTCATTAACAACTAGATGAAACTCTCTTGATGGTTGTTGTGCACTTTAACTCTCTTGATGGTTGTTGTTACAATCCTTTTGCCTCCATTTCATCAACAACTAAATGACCAACTCTCTTGATGGTTGTTGTTACAACCCTTTTACCTCCATTTTATCAACAACTAGATGACTATTTGTACCAACCCAGACTTTTCTCGGTTGGTTAGAGTGCATGGAAGGATAAAGGGGGGCAGCGCTGGCTGAGTAGAGAGCACAGCGCCAGCTGTGCATAAAACCAACGTCGGCTGAGTAGAGAGCCCAGTGCCAGTTGTGCAGAGAACCAGCGTCGGCTGAGTAAAGAGCCCAGTGCCGGCTGAGTAGAGAGCTCAACGTCGGCTGTGCAGAGAACCAGAGCCGGTTGAGTAGAGAGCTCAGTGCCAGCTGTGCTGAGAATTAGCGTCGGCTGAGTAGAGAGCCCAAGACTGGCTGAGTAGAGAACCAACGTCGGCTGTATAAAGACCAGTGTCGGCTGTGTAGCAACCAGCGTCGGTTGTGTTGTGCAGCACCGTTGCCGAGGAGAGAAATAAGTACTAACACCGGATGTGTAGAGGAGCAGTACTGGTTATGTAGGGAAGCAGCGCCGGTTATGTCTTTGACATTCATGAGTTGTGTATGCCACTTGTTATATGCATGCTGATTTGAGAGCCACTTGTCCAGATTTTTGAGCCTCTTGGTAACACTTGACCAGCCACCTCAAACCCAAGAATACTTAAGCCTCTTTTCTCACCCACGCCATTCATTCTTACTTCATCTGTCTCTCTAAGACACAACGTTGGAAGAAGTGACTGTCGGAGGGCAGCCATTGTTGGGTGGGTGAGAGCTGTGAAAAGGGGATTGGAGAAGGCACCATTGCCGTTCATGTAAGTGGATCCATCACCATTGCATTATAGTTATAAGGATACATGGGAATTTATGCATGCGAAATGAGCAATGAAGGTGCATGTGATGTAGAAAATCCTTACGCCTTGTTCACTGAAAATAGGAGCGTTTGTTCCATAATAATGGTGAATGTTGAGAATGAATGTGTGATTTTTAGATTATGTAAGAAATGCATGTTTTGTGTGTACATTGTGAGAGAATGGTTTGCTCTTGATTCCGTATTTTCATGCATTGAGCCACTCCCACTTGAGTGACGTTCGCGACCTCCGGTCGTGAACCTGCGCTCTGTCACCCTCCGGTAGGGGTCAAGGGGCGGGGTCGTGACACCATTGGGGTCAGGGAGGTCGTAAACCTTCGCTCTGTCACCCCCCGGTAGGGGTCAAGGGGCGGGGTCGTGACACCATTGATCCTCCTTACGACTTGGGCTCACAAAAAGATTACAAGCCCAACCCACACATGCACCATCTCTCTGACCTTTATACTAAGAGTATATTACGTGGCAATGCATGCTCTTAAATACAGCTCAATAAACTCTCTCCTTTTCAATGTGGGATTCAAACCCACATCTTTCTCTCTCTGAAAAAATACTAACAATCATTTTGATCTTGAAATATATATGGATATAAAGAAAATTTTCAAGTCCTAAATTTAGTGCGTCATCTGGACCATCTATTTTCATGATTTTGAAGTGTTTATAGATGAACTAGATTTGTGCTATTTTTGAATTTTAAAATTTTATAATTCTTGTGAACTACATCTTCCAACAAATTTAGAGGTGCACCTTACTTGTATAGAATAGGGTCGGCACCTAGTACAATTCTCTCAGAAAATTTGAATATGATGTCCTTCGAGGCTTCTCAATTTAACCTACTAAATAATTAATTAAAGCAATATCGACTCCTCAATACTCATCCATTAGATGCCTACTAAATTAAAGGGAAAAGTTTATATAGAGCCGAGGCTCTAAACAATCAAATAAGAGCTGGCCCCAAAAATTTCACTAGAAGAGGTTGTTTTGATGCCCAAATATCCTCAAATTGATCATCTCGACATCAAGGTGCATAGACACGAGAATAAAATGGATTTCAAATATTAAAAATAGTGTATTTTATAATGTATTTTTGGGCCATCGATTTTCAAGTTTTTATAGATATGTCGATCTACACTATATTTAAAGCTTTAAACTTTATAAATAAAATAAAAATATATTTTAAAGCTATGACAAACATTTCCAATATTGAAATCACAATTTTCACACTTTTTGAAGGTAGACACTAATTTGATTGTTCAGAGCCTAGGCTCTATACAAACTGCACCCTAAATTAAATAGCTTCGTTTAATCTTAAGCCCTCAATAGGCATCCATTCAAACGAGCTTTCACTTAAACTGCATCGCCACACTTGGAATCACAAGCACGCACTATGAAAATCTCCTTTTTAGATTTCCCT